TAGAGGTCAAGTGGTTAGTCTGTGCCCGGAACAGGGTGCAGAGCAGCGCAGACAAAAGCCCTCACCAGGTACGTGGGGTGACCTTTGGTTTTTCTCCGCCTCGGTCCTCACGTGTGGCTGGAGGCTGTGATCCGTAGTATGTTCTCTGACACGCATGCTCCCTTGTTTAACGGTTACTATCAAGGTACCTCGGCCTGCCGCACGTGACTTTTGTTTTCTCTCCTATGTTGTAGTCTTGCCCCTTAGGGGGCTGACTCGTAACTGACTCTGAGTCACGCGTGTATTCGGTGGTTCACGTTTATGATGATGACAGCAGCGACTATCTCCTGAGCGCGATGCCAGACACCGCCGCACAGATGATTCCACCTCGTCCTCGTGAGAACCCGCCCCCCCCGCCCCGGGCTGCAGGGTCCGCTTGTGTCATGTGTGCCCGGCTGGGCAGGCACGTCGGGCTAGAAATCCACCCTTGGTCCGCCCTCACCGAGGCGCCTTCCACGCCCTGGAGCAAAAACAACCCCAGTGTGTTCTTCATGCAAAGTCAGCAGCCAGAACTTCTCTATTTGGAGCCCCGATTCCTGCGAAAGAGATGCCCCACTAGTCCCATCCCAGAGATGAAGAAACCAAGGTACAAAGAAGTTAAGAAACTTCCCGAAGGTCGCACAACCGGCCGGCGGCGGAGCAGGGACCCGAATCCGAGGAGGCCGGACTCAGAGCCGGGACTGGAGGTGGAAACTGGGTATTCCCAGGGTCGGGGAGTGAGCACCCGGAAGACAGACTCTTGCATCCACAGGATTTGCCGTCGAGTCTACAGGACGTGCGCGAGCGCATTCCTGACCCCAAAGGAATGATGGCTCAGACCCCGGGCCGGGCCCTCCAGGCGCTGCGGCGGCTGCTTTAGACTGCGGGCGGCGGCGAGGAGCGGGCAGGCCTGGAGAGCTGTCCCGGAGATGCTGCCCCGAGCCGGGCCTGGCCGCCGAGTCGCTGGAAGGCGGGGACCGTCACCAAGCAGCATCCGCACCCTCGGGGGCCTGGGAGATCCGTGTGGCCCTGAAGCAGGGCTGCCCGCCCCCCGGGTGCCTAACGTTTGCACCCCGTAGCGCGTTCCTCTGGGTCAGGGTGGCCCGGCCGCCGCCACCCTGCACGTCCTCCCCCGCTGGCGCCCGAGCCCCCCCCCCCTTTAACACGGAGCAAAGGCTTTCATTGGGAGAGGGGGACGAGGCTTAGAATGCGAGTCCCCCTCGGCCAGGCGGACGCTGGTCTGAATTCCCACCCGCGACTCAGGTGTGAAGGCGGCTCGGGGGCTTTCTTCCTGCGAGCACCTTTTGATGAGGGGAAGGCAGCGGAGAGAATAAGATACTAGGAGAAGCAGCGTTGGAAGAAGGGTGGTCTAGAGAAAGCAGAGGGCAGGAGAGGAGCGGAGTCCCTGGGCTCCAGCACATTCCGCGGCCTGGGCCTGCGGGTCGCGGGCGGCTCGTGGGGCAGCGGCGCAGCCTCCTTCAAGGGGCCCTGGGCCGTGGCAGCCGCTTAGCTGCTCTGCACCTTCATTTCCAGGCCCGTTAAACGAGGTTAATAAAACCCGTTGTGTGCACAACTGCTTTGGGGACTTTTATTTATTTCATTTTGTATTTTACTGAGGTGAAATACACGGAAGACACCACTTCCCATCTTAACCATTCTCCAGGGAGCAGTCCGGTGGCATTCAGTGCACCCAGGCCTCTGTGCGACCGTCCCCACCATCCATCTCTAAGACTCTTTCCATCTTGCAACACCGCGAGTCTGTGCGTGAAACGGTGACTCCCTGCTCCCCACCTGCTCAGCCCCTGGCGACCACCATCCTAATTCCCGTCCCCTTGGTAGCTTGTGTAAATGGAATTACAGAGTATTTGTCCTCTTAGGACTGGCGTACGTCACTCACCGTACAATCTTCCAGGGCTAGCCGTGTCGCAGCACGTGTCAGAGTTTCCTTCCTTTTTTAAGGCTGAATAGTATTCCATTATATGGATTTATCACACTTTGCTTATCGACTCATCCACTAATGGACGGTTGTGCTGTTTCCACCTCCTGGTCATTGTGAATGATCCTGCTAGGGACATGGATATACAAATATCTCTTTGAGATCCTGTTTTCAATTCTTTTGGGGTGTGCACCCAGAAGTAGACTGGCTAGATCATGTGGCGACTGTGTTTTTACTTTCCTGAGGAGCCATCATATTGTTTTCCACCGTGGCTGTCCCACTTAACATTCCCACCGACCGTGCACGAGGGTCCCCTCTTCTCCACATCCTTGCCAACACTCAATCTCTCTCCTCCTCCTCTTCCTCCTTGTGGTAACCATCCTAATTATTAAATGCAACTTATACAGTTATTGCTTCTGAAAGGCACACAGGAACATGTTGAGGGGATCCCTGGGTGGCTCAGTGGTTGAGCATCTACCTTCAGGGTGTGATCCTGGGGTCCCAGGATCGAGTCCCACGTCGGGCTCCCTGCATGGAGCCTGCTTCTCCCTCTGCCTGTGTCTCTGCCTCTCTTTTTCTCTCTCTCTGTGTCTCTCATGAAAAAATAAATAAAATCTTAAAAAAAAATAGAAGAACAAGTTGAGAATCTTTCAGTTTGCACGCCCTAGTGTATGTCTGGAATAAGGCAAGCTGCCACTAAAGGTTTGGGCACTGGAATACCCAGAGTAGCAGGACTAGCCCCTGGGAGCCTGGGTGTTTCCCATCATCCTGCCATCGTCCTGTGCCCATGCTGCACAGTTGTTAGCCAGCAGCACGTGAGCACCAGACACCCTCTGCACAAGGGCCATCCCCCGGGAGCGTCCTCGCAGTGTGCCACAGTTTCACTCCACCCTTTCAGCATTTGAAATGGTACCATTTAAAAATGGAAAATCAAGGCTCGTCCAAGGAATGAGTCTTTTCCGTTTTCCTTTCTTTTCAGGGATTAATACAGAGAGTTTCTGAACACCAGGTCCAAATGGCTGTATTTTGTCTTGTTTATGGAGGTGGGGAGAGCTGACTTGCATCTAATTATGCCTTTTGCAAGAATCCTGAGCAACTCTAGAAGCTGGCAAACACAAATCCTCCCCTCCTAGATGTTTAACTGGGAAAGAGGGCTGCCCCACACCTTGGCCACCCTACCTACTAGGTACCCAGCAGCCAGCACCGTAGACACACACACACACACACACACACACACACACACACACACACACACGGCGCCATCAACTGGCAGTCTCAGCGCCACCCTCTTGTCTACACCTTTTTCCTTTTTTTTTTTTTTTGCATTTTTCCCTTCTTGAGCGTTGTCAAGAGTTGTGCAAAGGAAGCAAGTCACCTGTGCTCACCCGAGCCTGTAGGAAGGATGGACCACAACACGGGCAAGAAGGGACAAGAAGGAACATCCACCCTGAAGTGAGACGGTTCTGGAATCCTCTTCCATAGACTAGCAGTGGAAACATGGAGAAGTTACTCCATGTCTCTGAGCCTTGGAGTCCTCAAAGGCAAAGTGGGAATGACAGTAAATGCCTTTCTCAGGACCGCCGGAGGATTAAATGTGCTGACAGGGAGTGCAGGTAGGTCCTCAGTGAAGCATCCCTCTCCTGTGACGGCAGCTAAAGGGTGTGGGTGTTAGTCTGAAAACACCAGTGGGGACTCCTGGGGGACACAGGTGCCCTTTCCCAGACTCCCTGACACTTCTCCAGCACCCAAATTTCACTGTAACTGGCTCCGGCACATGCAGGCAGGACTTTTTTTTTCCTTTTCATTTTTTTAAGATTTTATTCATCTATTTATGAGTCAGAGAGAGAAGCAGAGACACAGGCAGAGGGAGAAGCAGACTCCCTGTGGGGGCAGGGGGCAAGCCCCATGTGGGACTCGAATCCAGAACCCCGGGATCACCCCCTGAGCCAAAGGCAGATGCTCCACCACGGAGGCAGATGCTCCACCACGGAGCCAGATGCCCCCAGACAGGACTTTCTCCTGTTCAAACACCGTCTCTGAACAGTTTACAGCTTAGGCTGCTTTTCAGTGAGGGCCGCAGCAGAGGCCCGAGGGAGGAACCATTAACCCATTCCTCCAAGTGCAGGCCTTTCTGTTCAGGATAAACCGAGGAAGGCCCAGAAGGCCCAGCTAACAGCAATTAAGAGCACCCACATCAGCTCTTGGTTATCTTCCCACAGGGCCCCTCAGGCCTCGCATCTGGGGAAACGGTAGGAGAAATAGGGAAAAAAAAATTCTCCCTATCCTTCCTGGACGGGTAGTATTCCAAAGGTTAACACTGGACAGAAGCATCTTCCGGGCTTTTCCCAGTGCATTGAAGGGATCTAAGAGAAATGAAAATGATTTTCACCCCGCCCCTTTCCTTGGCTCTCCTTGTTTCCTCCCCTTGACATTCTTTTCTTCTCTGTTCTCCAAGTATCCTGGTGCCAGCTGCTGCAACAGAGTATACTATTTTTCCCTAAGCTAAAAAAGATTATCGTCATAATAATTTTGAGGCATGAAGTTCAAGGCCAAAGTAATAAATATTATTTTTTAAGAAATATGCTTGCAGAAAAAAAAGACTCAAACAGCCCATAGGTGTAAATAGTATAAAAGTCCTCCATTCTCATGCATTCCCCTCAATCTCAGTCCCTAGAGGTGACAACCGCTTAACAGTTTGCATGCATTTTTCCAGACATTTATGATTTATTCATTTGACAGATTCAGAATGATTGCTTACTATCTTCTGGGCACTGTGTCAGGTCCTCAGCAGCAGAGAACAAACACCAATCTACGTATGTAAGTACATGGACATGTGTATGTGGCATATATATTGGCAAAAATGAGATCACGTTTCTCAATAACTAATATCCCAGAGCCACTTTTCCGTGTTAGAATGTAGAAACACATGCATACGTACTTATGATTTTTCACAGCTGCATAATATGCCATTGTAAGAATATATATGTATATATGTAACATTAATATTTATACATATATATATATATATACAGCCTGTTATGTTATTTTAAAAACCAGCCGTGTTTCCTCTGCTCACAGAATGAAGAGCAGCCCACTGCACAGGACCTACCCGAGCAGAAGCCGGCAGTCTGGAAGGGGGTGCTGTAGGGTCTGTCCCCTGCACGAGGGTGGAGAGCCGGCCAGCTGCCCGGGCTGACCCTTGGGCCTCTCCCACGGGCAGGCAGGGCCAGCCCCAGAAGCACGCAGTCCCTGCCCAGGCACCTGGCTGGAGGGCCCGGCCACATCCTTGTGACTCCGGAGCCCTGGTGGCCACAGCTCCCATCACACTTGGCTGCTCCGGTCATCCCGTCTCCAGCATCCCCTTTGACCTTCATTTCTGCAGGTTGAACAAGGAGCAGGAAAGAGAAGAAATAAAGGTGAGAGGTCGTGAACAACACAGCCAGAGGAGGACAGTGCGCATATTCGTGCAGGTGTGTTTTCTTAGAAGGTGTCACCTTTTCAGGCCTGTTGACGGCAGGGCGCGTGTGCCCGCGTGTGTGCAGGCTGGGGGGGGGGGCATGGCGAGCCCAGGCAGAGGTCAGTGGTGAGCAGCCCTGGCCTCGCAGGGCACCCGGTTACCTGCCCCCAGCCTCCACCTCCTTAACCTCCAAGTTCACCCCACCCCGTCCTCCCAGGCCCCCTCCCGGCTGGGGCGAGGGCCCCGGCGTGCGGGCCGTGTAGACACTCCTCCACGGTTACTTAGCTGGGTGGTGGGAGCACAAATGCACCCTAATTGGCCAGTCCGGGGCCTTTTCTAGGGAATGAAGGAGGTTTCTGTTTCAAGAAATAAGTGACTTCTCGGCTGTTGATTCACTCACTGCCCGCAGGGAGATTTTTCAGCCGAGGCTTCCGAGCTCTCTAGAAATTTGCATACAACTTCCCCTTCCTGCCGCGGAGCCTGCTCGGCCGCGTACCTGGCCGGGAGGGAGCGGGAGGCGGGAGCCGCCCAGGTGGAGCCCGGGAAGGAGGGAGCGGACCACCCCGGCCCTCTGTCGTCCGTCTGTCCCCGGGGGCGCCAAGGTAAGCCGTCAGAGCTGTCGCCGGCCTCGCCTTGCTTCCTGGCCGCTGACCCTCTCCCCACACCCTGTGTCCTCCTTTGCTCCCCCCACCTGCCCCCCCCCACCTTGAACTTGCCCGCCCTGGGCCGCGGTCCAGGCCAGAGGAGACCGTGCTGGTGTCTGGGGTTTGGGGCCGGCAGGGGCCGAGAGGGACTCTGGGAGGAGGGGTCGGTGTCCCCGGCTGTGCTGCCTGGGAGCCACCTGGGAACCACCTGGGAGCCACCTGGGAGCCACCGGGGAGCCGGCCGGGGCAGGCCTCAGTGTCCCCGTGAGCCCCGGGGAGGATCCAGCCCCACGTCCCCAGGAGGGAGCCCGGCCCGGCAAAACTTAAGTCGTTGGCCTCCAGCCCCAGGACACGTCAGTGGCAAAGATGGAAGGAAAACTCTCAGTTTTCTGGAACCTCGTTTCCTGCAGGGAAGTGTTGGACCCCGTGTCCCGGGCGGGGAAGCTCAGGCCAGCTCCCTGCCGGCTGCCCGCCCCCCCCCCCGGCCCCCCACCAAGCAGCCCGGACGTTTACTGGCAAGGAAAACCCTGGGGAGAAATGCTAGTTCTTGATCTCAGCAGCTAATCAAGCTTTGGGTGACTTCCAAGTCCAAAACGATCTCTTAGAATAGGGGGATTTTTAAAAAAGATTTTATTTATTTATTCATCAGAGACACAGAGATGCAGAGACACAGGCAGAGGGAGAAGCAGGCTCCCTGCGGGGACCCCGAGAGGTGGGGGACTTGATCCCAGGAGCCCCTCCCCCCCATCACGGCCTGAGCCCAAGGCAGACGCTCAACCACTGAGCCACCCAGGCGTCCCTAGAATAGGGGAAATCTTTTTAAGGGATGAGGGGGAAAAATATTAATTTTCCTATTAAATAAATATCTCAAAAAGAGGACAGGGAACTTGGTTTCAAGTCCTCACTCCACTCCTCACTGGCTCTGTGACTTAGTTCACTTTGGTTTCCCTAGGCCTGGATTTTGTCAACAATAAAATGTGTGTGGGGGTGGACTAACATGATTTTGTCTGAATTCCCTCTAACAAAAATAAAGCAGGAGTCAGAGTCACAGAGGGGGAGCCGTAATGGGTGGTCTTGGAAGACTTGTTTTGTTTACTGACTATTCAAATATATTAATTTTACCGCCTGCTACTACTACATGGTTAGTTCCTTGAGGAACAGGATTGTTGCTTCTTAATCCTCCTCCACACCCCTCGCACCCAGTATAGGATCAAACGCTTCATAGGTGCCCAAGCTCTTTCCTCGCAGCAACGTAAGCTGCTTTGATTTCTATTTCACTCACCTGCTCCCAAGGCACAAGGTAAAAAGCACAGTCAGGGCCAAAGACCCGGGGTGGCTGGGCGGCCACGTGGCTCTGCGTGACGGCTGCCCGGAATCCAGGCGTGTTTATTGGCTCTTGCTACAATAAAACAGGGGGTTTCTTGGATTAGTTCATGTCCCAGTTGAGTTCCCCAGGAAAAACCGTCCTGTGCACTTGCCCGCAGAGTCCAGGCAGGCGGGAGGACTGGCAGGCCGGCCTGTCTCCAGAAGGCTGCAATCCTCACTTAGCTGGAGCTGAAAACCACTCGTGGGCGTGGGCGAGAACAATCACTGGGGGAGGGTGGGGGAACTTTAATGGGAGGTGAAAGGAAGCCGCAAAGCCCACCCTGATACCATGTAAGGGTGATGACCGGGATCCGACACATCAGATGACAGACACAGGCGCCTCAACCTTTTCCAAACCACTACTTTATTGTTATTTCTTTGGGGCAGTTCTGTATTTGTCTATACAGACAGGCCCTGGCGACTGGGTCGGGCTGACTCAGGGCATTAAGCATTGCTTAACCGGTTTGTTGGAAAGGCCCTGGTACAGTCACTGTCATGTTCTCAGATGGCTTTCTCTCCCTCCCTCGCCCCCGCCCCCGGGATGAGAGGACAGAAATGTCAAGATGCTTCAACTGCGACGAGTTGCCGATTGTATTTTCAAATAAGTATTTTCAAATAACGCAGCCCCATTATCGGAGCCGAGGCTCGGCTGGCTCGCTGCTGCGGGGCCAGCCTCGCTTTCACCCAGAAAGACCACCCACTGTCATTCCTAATCTGGTGTTGCAGCTCCAAGTGGTGCCGGGACTGCTCCCTGCTCCTCCGGTGCGGGGTGGGCTGTGGGGTGGGCCGCGGGGTGGGCTGACTAGGAGTGAAGTCAGGGCAAGGACCCCACGTGTAGGGGGGAGGGTTGGGAAGAAGATCCCTAACTGGAGGATACTCACGCTTGGAGGGTGCAAAGACAGTGTTTGAGCCTGCTTCTCCCAGGATTAAGGAGCCAGTGACTTTCAAATGCTCTGAAAACAGGAGGAGAAGGCAGTCCTCTTTGCAGCTGTTCTCTAACAGGCATTCAGAAAAGATGGATTATGTGGGTAATTTGTCTAAATGAAATCTGTTTTACACGGCGCAGAATCGAAAGCTCAGAAACACCTGAATTCAACCATTTTTCTAGGGCAGGCAATTTCAGATTAGCCCGTAAAAACCGTGTAAGGATCGCAGGCGGTTGCTGGCTGGGGGAGGGGGTGGTGATGGGGGGACACAGATGAGCCAGATGAGGCACATTAAACTTTAAATTCCTTTCAGATCCAATGAAATGACCCCTCATGTTTGATCACATTTCCTTATCAAAACAACCCTGCCATCCGCCCCTCCGCCCTCCGCCCCTCCGCCCCTCCGTGAGAAAGCGTCTGAGGCCTGGAATCCAGCAGCTCTCCCCCTGGGCCTCTCCGGTTTCTTCTCAGTGCCTCCACCGAGATATTTTTAGTTCATGAAACCCCAGCTGTCCCTTCTCACCCCCCTGCCCCAAAATCTTCACGTCTTGTCACGAGCAGGCCTCTACGGGCCTCAGGGATGGAGGCCTTCTTGGGGGGCTGTGAGTTGTAAGCTGGCTGACGTGGGGGGGCCTTTCGTCACCTGAGTGACCCCCCTAGAGTTGTGCCAGTTTGGCTGGGCTCCTCTGATGAGGCAGGGGAGCCATTCGGGGGTGAGGGAATGGCCGGGCGCCCCCAGCCCGCGTGCCCCCTATCCTTCCCCCCCACCCCAGGATCTTGCCAGCACCCCCTCTGCCCCCCCAAGATGGGGGAAACTTGGCTCTTCTCAGCCTCATTGTTTCCCTGCCCTCTGGGGTTCCAGCGTTTTTCCTTCTTCCCCTCCCAGGGTCACAGGGCCTCCCTGCCCTGCCTGATGTGTCTTCCTCCCCTGGGCGGCTGTCTAGACCCGCGAGGCCCACGCGAGGCCCACCGGCTGACCTCCAACACCTTTGGCGCTCACCTGTGCTCATTCTTTCCCGCCCCTTGCAGCTGCCCCTTCTCACAGCCAGTGATCCTTCACAATCACAACGGAAATAAATCTCCCTCCTGCACCAACACAGGGCCCGGTTTTTACAGTGGCCTTCAAGGCGTCCCCACTTTCTCGTGTCTCTCCTTTTCCATGCTCCTGTCTTGCCTACTGTCCCTTCTTCTTGCCCTTTCTGCCCCCTTGTCCTTCACGCTGGGGCTTGGACTGAAGTTCGGGATCACAGATACGCGCTTAGAGAAACCTTATCTGAAACCAAAGGAACAAAGCCCTGGGCTGGTTTGAGGTGGTTCTCCGAACGTTTACCACCAGCGGAATCCGTCCGTTCCCATCAGTCCGCGGTCTCCTTGTTGGGCAGCTCAGAGGAGCTCCAGGGCGACCTGGAATCAGGTCAGGTCACGCCGTGCTGCCTGGAGCCTGGTGGGAGCCGTACCGTGCGGGGGGCCAACAAGGGCCAGTAAATGCCCCCTTGTCTCCTGGGCTCACCGCTGCTTCCAGTCCTCTGGCAAACCACATGGAAGAGCTTCTCTGTCTGGGAAATTCTGCAAGTAAACTTGGAAGTATTTACTCACTGGAATTTGAACGGGAGCCAAACAGTTCACTCCAAACCAGCTTCCACTGACCAAACTGACATTGTGAAAGTTTGCATGCATTTGGGCAGTAAACAAAGGACATTAATGAGTTTAAAGATTTTTTTTTAATACATGACTTTCAGACTTTTTTTTTTTTAATACTCCCCGAGGAATGAAGTAAGACCTTGAGAATCAGTGACTGAAAGTATCTGATCCAAATTGGATCTGCTAGCTGTAAATTTATATATTTATTTATTGTGTCCACCTGAAACATTCGTGTTGTGTGACTCTTTAACCCTATTGTTGACCCAAAGAATCCTTTAAAAAAAAAAAAAAATCCAGGCAGTTGGTGAACAGCGAGCCTTGATTGTTTAGGAGCTGGTAATGTGGTTTATTAATTACTCAGGCTGCTCACTCCTGCCCTTCCTCTGTTTCTTGCTATGCTATTTGTCTTCTTCCAGGGACATAACACCTTCATTAAATCCCATCCGTCCTTGCCTCAGAGGCGTCCCCTGGAAGATATCCCCTCTCTAGATGCATCACCATTTATCATCACCCTTTGTTTGTGCTCTGTCAACCAGTTTTCAATTTATTTTGAATTCGGTTTATGATTAAAATTTAATGAGATCCAATCAACTGCTTTTCTCAAATCAAGATGCCTCTGCAGTCTCACCCGTGTCCTCTATTGTAACGGCATGAAGGAAAGCCACCGCAGGTTTCCCGCCTGGTAATCCTTTATAAAACACGGGTGGCCCTTCTCCATGCCTCCTTAGCTTCAAGGTGAATGGTTCAGAAACATATTCATTCCAGAAGCTTCCAGGGGTTACTCAGCTCCCCTAATCCCCTTCCTTCCTCTTCCCTTCAAATAGCTGCATCAGTCAGGATTCCCAACCAACCAACCAATTGTTAAGTGCACAGGTTCTGGTGCTCTGCTTGGATTTGAATCCAGTCTATGCTACTTACTGACCATGGGATCAGTAAAAGTTGCTTTTAACCTCCGTGGGTCTCAGTTTCCCCATCTGTAAAAGGAGATTGCCAACAGTACCTACCAAATAAAGTAGCTGCGAGGAGGAAATCATACGTGAAAAGTACTTGGAACAATATTTGACACATTATAAACACTCAGTAAATATTAACAATTATTACTAATGAAGGGGAAGGTTTCTTTTTGAGAGAGAAAACGTGCAAGTGGGCGGCAGGCGGGCGAGGGAGAGAATCATGAGCAGGCTCCATGTCTAGTGCTGAGCCTCATGCAGGGCTCGATCCTGTGATCCTGCGATCATGACCTGAGCCAAGGGCCAGACACTTAACTGACTGAGCCACTGGGACACCCTCAGGGGAAGATTCTTTTCTTTTTTCTTTTTCTTTTTCTTTTTTTTTTTCTTTTCTTTTCTTTTTTTTTTTTTTGAAGGTTTCTTTCTATTTTGATTGATCAGTATAGTCTATATCAGCGGTTTGTAAATTATAACCCTTGGGCCAAATGTGGCCGGTGTGGTTTTTTTTTGTTGTTTTTTTTGTTTGTTTGTTTTTTTACTACAGCATATCGCTAAGAATGGTTTTTATATTTTTAAAATGTTTGAAAACAAATTTTAAAAAGCAGAGTGTGAGACAGAGACCATATGTGGTCCATAAGGCATGAACTATTTACTATCTGGACCTTTACAGAAAATGTTTGCCAAGCCTCTGATCTATGTGGTTTAATGGAAAGAGCTAGGATTCCGCTGTGACTTTGGAAAGCTACGTAATGTATCTAAACCTCTGTGAAATAGGGATGGGAGAGTGATAGCACACACCCAGTCTGTGGCCCAGCTTGTTTAAAGATGAGAGACAAGAGGCCATGTGCACTGAATGTGCCAGAAACACACGTTAGTTAACAAGATTTAATCTCCACTCACTAGGTTCATATGATAGCATTAACATTCTATCATAGTCTAGAACATAGTGTAGAAGAAAGTTCTAAAGCCGAGTCACTTGTAAAAATAATAATAAAGCAATGGGCCGCCCGGGTGGCTCAGTCAGTTAAGCATCTTCTTTTGACTCAGGTCATGATCCCGGGGTCCTGGGGTCGAGCCCTGTGTTGGGCTCAGTGCTCGGTGGGGAGTCTGCTTCTCCCTCTCCCTCTATCCCTCCCCTCTGCTCATGTTCTCTCTCTCAAAGAAATAAATAAGATCTTCAGGAAAATAATAATAACAAGATGGGTTTGGGTTTTTGAGAGCCTGATATGGTCAGTATTTTTTAAAAGATTTATCTATTCATTTTTGAGAGATAGAGCAAGCATGGGTGGGAGGAGGGGATGAGGGAGAGAATCTCAAGCAGACTCCCCTCTAAGTGAGGAGCCCGTGTGGGGCTTGATCTCATGACCCTGAGATGACTGGAGCGTCCCGAGACCAAGAGTGGGATGCTCAAGTGACTGAGCCCTCCAGGGGCCCGTGCACTCAGCATTTTATGTACATCTTCTTTTATCCCCACGAGATGCCTGTAAAGCAAATGTTATTTCTCCCATTTCACGCGTTAGAAAACGGAGGCCCAGGGAAGTAATTTTCTCCGGGTCCCACATCTAGTCACGGAGCCGGCAGAGAAAGAACTAAAACGTAGGGAGTTTGAATCCAGAGCCTGTGCATTTGAATACTGCACGTTGTCCTACATCCTCGGCCTCCGTGTGGCTCCAGGGTAAGGCCGCCTGGAAAGCGGAGGCCGCCGGTCACCTTGGATCTCTCCGTGTGTGCCCGACAGAGACGGGCCAGGGCGAGGTGTCACGGACGTGCAGAAAAGGAGGCGGGGAGGATGGAAGGAGAAGAAGCTTTTTGGCAGGCCTGTGAGATCAGAAAGTTAGTGCGTGAAGACTTCACGGGCTCTGTTTCGAGAAATGAAGAATTTAAGGCGGAATGCGCTGGGGGAGAAAAAGGTTGCTGGGAACAGAAACGAGCACTCAGGGGGATTGAGTGGAAGCTGCGAGCAGGAAAGGGGGGAGGAGAGGGGAAGTTCTGTGAAGGGGACCCCAGGGAGCACGGTCACATCGGAAGTGGGAGCTGCTGCCATCTGGATGAGGTCCTATCTGCAAGATCAGGCCACTGCAGGTAGAGTGGGCTTGCTAAGAGGAGGGTTTCGGGCTGGGGGAGACAGAAAGGAAGCCCCCAAACCAGAGGCGTGGACAGAGAAAACCCGGCAGATTCAGGGACAGGTGTGGTCAGAATCCAAGGGCTGGAACCACAGCTCCCGGCCGAGGGGCAACGAGGTTCAAGAGGAGGCAAGTCAGTGTGTCTCGGGTCAACTCCGAGCGAGTGAGAAGCAGGCTCCCGTGCACAAGGGCCCCAGCCCAGCCGTGCGCCCCGGACCAGCCCTCCGCCCTCGGCCTGTGCCAACCCCCCACCCCCACCCCCACCCCGGGCTCGCGCTGGTCTTTTGTGTTTTAGGGGACACGTTCTTTCCCTTGAGCGGTTTCAGGAATGCCTACTTCCTTCTCGTTGGTTCTTCA